TATATATATATATAAAAGCATAATTATAAGGCTATAAAAACCAAACAAATTTTATTTTATAGCGATTATACACTTGTATAAACATATTAATGGGGAGAATATTCAGATTCAGATTCAGATTGACAATAAACCATGCCAAATATTACACACTGGCCCTTTAAGTCCTTACCACAGTATAAAGGAAATCACCTGAAATTCAGATTTGACAATAGGAGGCAGACAGCTGCTATTAAATGTACCTCAGCGTGGGTGGACTCAGGCTCAGGCATGCTGGGTCCAATAACGGTGATGCTGTCTTCACTCTCCTTCTTGTTCAATAGACCTGCTGCCATCACTGCTGCCTGCTGCTCTGCAACCCGTGCTGCTAGTTCCTCCTGAAAGATCAAGATCAGACACACTCAGACTGGCCCATGAGTGAGCAACAACAGCAGCAGGCCTTCATAAACTGTTTCACTTTCAGTAATACACACCTGCCCCATCCCTACTTTAATAATACATACCAGCGTTAGCATAAAAGTGTAGTTTTTCCTATAGGTACATCACTTTTAAAAACACACAATAACACAAAAGGACCCCCCTCTGTGCATGGAGTATTGCTGTCACTAGTAGTCAAACACACACACCGAGGCAACACAAGCAGATTGTGAAATCGCATGAAGAGACAGACAAGAACACAATGAGATGTCCTCATACTCATAGCAGAGCACCTAGACATTATTTTGTGAGAGTTCAATCAAAATACCATTCTGGCTTGTCTTTGAGCTCTGACATCAATTCTTTTATGTCCAACAGGGGCAGGAGGAGCCGAGTACACAGTTGGTGCTGCCTGAATGATTGATGGCGTCGGTTTGATGGGAGGCGGGGCTCCCTGTCTTGTGGGCGGGGCTGACACCATTGGAACCATATCACTGACCTGAGATGCACCAACAGACACAAAGAGACACAAGAAATTACGATACAAGGTAGCTTACAAGACACCTAATGTGGGATATAATTAGTGATGGTGGTGTTTACACGACAGAAATTAAGTTTACCCTACTATCACTTGTGTTTGTAGGAACAATAACTATTGACAATACACATAAGACATAAAGCTATAGTGCGCACACAGGTTAGCATGGTGAAAAATCACCCAGGTATGGCAGCTCACCACTCCTGGTGGACGTTGTGCCAACACTGTTTGCTTCTTTCAGCTCTGACCTGAGGTGCTGCAGCCATGTGCTGGATGGGCGGAGAAGGACCCTGAGGTGCCTGGCCCTGCAGGGACGGTGGGAGCATCATGGGAGGTGGTGGAGGAGGCCGTGGCAGAGGAGGTGCTATTGGAGGACCACGCATCATTGGCAGCCTCTGACCAACTATCAACATAGTGGTAGGACATTAACATACACTCAAACAACTGACTAATAACACGTATTTCTGCTCCCAGTTTTTACGGATTTAAGTTAAAGATCTAAGACTTTTTGTGTGAACACAAAAGACTTACTTCTCTCAGTTCTTGACTGCAAATTTGTTAAAATCCATGTTAGTGAGCCCCTCTCCTTTTCCAAGATAATCCATCTACCTGACACACAGAGGTGATCAGGTTGTTAATTGTGGCCTGTGCAATGTTGCCAACTTCTCTTTAGTGGCTGTGTAAAGTTGCTAAATATCAGCAGGAATTGCTGTATATGCCAGTCGAGAGCATCCCAAGCATACTCAGTGGGTGACATGTCTGGTGAGTCCGCAGGCCACTGGGATGTTTTCAGCTTCCAGGAGTTGTGTACAGATCCTTGCAACATGGGGCTGTGCTTTATCATTCAGCAACATGAGGTCATGGCAGCAAATGGCATGACAGTAGCTGTCAGGATTTTGTCACAGTATCTTTGTACATTTAAACTGCCATCAATAAAATGCATCTGTACTCTGTAGCTTATACCAGCCCATACCATAACCCTACTACCACCATGGGGCCCTCTGTTCACAATGCTGGCATTAGCAAACTGCTCACCCACATGACACTATACATGTTGTCTGTCATTTGTCTGGTATAGAGTGAACCAAGATTCAACTGTGAGGAGAAAACTTCTCCAAAGTGCTAAATGCCATTGATGGTGAGCAGTTGCCCATTTAAGTTGGTTATGATGACAAACTGCTATCAGGTCACGACCCTGGTGAAGACGACGAGCACACAGTTGAGGTTCCTTGATAGTGTGACAGGTTGTGCAGAAATTCTTTTATTGTGCAAACCATTTGTTTTGGGTGGCTGCTCTCAGATGATCAGTTTAAGATGCTGGATGTGGAGGTCCTGAGGTGGTGTGGCTACACATGGTCTGTGGTTGTGAGGCCGATTGGATGAACTGACAAATTTACAAAAAACAATATTTGAGACGTCTTATGGCAGTAAAATGAACATTCAGCTCAGGGCCAACAGTTCTGGTGATGATTCCTGAAGTCAGCATGCCAATGGTACACTCCATTGTGCTGTGTGATCAAACTGCACATTTTAGAGTGTCCTTTTATTGTGTCCGTCCCAAGGCATGTTATGATGTTATGTTATGATGCTGTTTAATCGGCATCTTGATAAGCCACAGGTCAGTTGGATGGATTATCTTGGAAAAGGAGACGTGCTCACTTACACGGATTTTCACACATTTGTGAACAAAATTTAAGAGTAATAAGTCTTTTGTCTGCATACAAAATCTTCATCTAAACTCGTGAAGAATGGAAGCAAAAAATAAAGTGTTGCATTACTGTTTTACTTCAGTGTACATATATGAACCCCATTTTGTGAATGATAGCTAACAATCAAGCAGCGATGGGAGTTGAAAGCAAAAGTCATTTAATAATTTAAATTCAGTCACATCACAAACCCAAAGTCAGGGTCCATGAAAATATCATTCCATGTGGGCTACATTTATTGATTATCAATGACTTCAAATCACTTATAAAATTTCTGCTGAAACTATTTAAAATGGAATACTGTTTTAGTGGTAACCTTACCAGGTCTCTGCAGAATATGGGGGACGAAGGCCGGCCTCAGCATGGGAGGACGTACTGGAGGGACTGGGACAGACATGAGTCACATAGTGAGTTTAAGTAAAACATTTAAAAAGCACAACATGACAGCAGAATGAGGTCCCAGAGTGTTCTCTTAAGCACCTCTGGAGCATTCTAAATTTTGGTCGATCAACAAAAAAAAAATTCAAAGGCCTGGGACACATTTGAAATCAGGTAACTAATCATACATTATATTGAAAATCCTTTAGACAACACTAAAATACATTTTCCATAAACTACTCCCGTTATTAGTCTCTCCTAGGGCTGGGTGATAAATCGATTTTATCGATTAATTCGAATTTGTAGTTTAGGCCGATTTGTTTTAATGAAAATCGAGTTTCTATTTACAATCCGCCACGGCCGCTCCACGCTGGGCTCCCATAGTTCAGAGTGGGCTCACCCATCCCCCCCCCGCGCGCTTGATACACATACAACATGGCAGCGAGCGCTGAAGAACTCGTTCTCAAGAAAGGGAACGAGTTCTTCAGCGCTTTTGTGTGCTCACCTGTGTCTGTGAGTGTGTGTGTGCTCACCTGTGTGTGTGTGTGTGTGTGTGTGTGTGGGCATCAGGGCCGAACTCCGCCGTGCGTGACACAGAGAGCAGAGGAGGATTTTAGACGCGCACCATGTAGGGACATAAATGACATGCCGTTGTGTAAATAAGATAAATAAGTGTTAACAACGCCGAACCGTAGTAAAGGGACTTCCGAAGACCATTAGCTCCTTTAGCTTGTGTTAGCTCGTTGTGGCAACAACACATTTGTCTGCGTTAAAGAACGGCACTTTATTTTCAGCACTGCAGGGATGATGCACAGCCTCTGACATCAGTGTCTGACGTTTACATAGAGGGAAATAACTCAAAAACAGCACGCAGAACTGCGTTGGCTTCTTCACTGTGGCTGCCCAATGTAAACAACAGAGCACATGCCTCACTTTCTTCCTGGGGCGCATCCATCTGACGTCACACACCACACCCGGCGCACTGACGTCTCATACCTCCTACATCAACTACACACACACACACACACACACACACACAAGCCACACACATCAGGCTCAGCCTGTAACATAAGGCTATTTAGTTTGTTTAATAAAAGGACAAGGTATAGACCTGTTCTATAGGAAAGGTAACCTTAAATGACTTCTGTTGTGATCCAATATGATGGTAGGGGAAACACTGTCGTATGATAAGAAAGGGGTCCAGTGGAAAGCGATCACAGATGCAGTCGCCATGTATATTGCGGTAGCTACCATGGAAAAGCTGGGGTTTATTCACATGCTGAAAGTTTTGGACCCCAGGTATGTGCTACCAGGCCACATTTTTTTTTTTTAACTAGGAGGGGAAAAAAATCGATTTAAATCGTGAATCGGATTTTTTGTGAAAAAATCTGAGTTTTTTTTTAGGCCATATCGCCCAGCCCTAGTCTCTCCACATCTCAAACACACATCTGGTGATATCTCCTGATATTTCAGAAGGAGACTTCTGCTTAACAAGGCAATAACAAACAGACCAGATCAAGTGAAAAGTAAAAAGAATCTTCAGATACCTACAATAACATTCTGAGCCTCTCTGTGTCAAAAATAACCACTTGTAATGGACATACAGTGACTATGTTTAGTTGCCCTGTGTGCTTCCATTAAAGCCCATTCGGCGGCTGCTGGCCGCTGCCAGCTCTCTCAATACTGGACCAATTTCATAAATTGTTGTTCACGTTAGTCTCTTTGATCAATTTACACAGGGAAATAGGGTCCAGGTTGAAAAATGCTGAAGGTGTTCTTAAAGTCCAAGTGGACAATTTGAATCAATCAATCAATTAATCAATTTCATTTATAAAGCCCAATATCACAAATCACAATTTGCCTCACAGGGCTTTACAGCATACGACATCCCTCTGTCCATTGGACCCTCACAGCGGATAAGGAAAAACTCCCCAAAAAAAAACCCTTTAACGGGGGAAAAAAAACAGTAGAAACCTCAGGAAGAGCAACTGAGGAGGGATCCCTCTTCCAGGACGGACAGACGTGCAATAGATGTCGTACAGTACAGATCAACATGATAAGTTAAGAGTAACCCGTACGACACAATGAGACTGAGAGAGAGAGAAAGAGAGAGAGACAGAGAGAGAGAGACAGAGAGAGAGAGAGACCGAGACCGAGAGAGATGCAGGACAGACGGTAATGACAGTAGCTTACAACA